TAAACCACCTTCACGCGAATCTCCAGGAAATTAAGCATGACAGAGCCTGACTGTTAGCTTGGCTACTGGCTAGCTGACGCCTACGGGATGCGGTATAGTTAAACAGCCTTCAGAGGCAGCTGACTGAGAAGAAGGTATGCTTATGTCTGACGAATAGGCAGTCAGGGACATGAAGGTGAAATGCTGGCATCAGTGGGTCATAGGCCTTATGAAACCAGGTAAATGAGCATGTCAAGTAAGCCAAGTGTCACACACAGACTGCTGTGGATAGGAGCTTGCCCGATCCCATTCAGTCCGCCCGCCAGCTTGTTACTGTCGACAACGAATGGAGTGCCGTAGAAAACACATACTCAATGTCATAAATAGACAATACATTAAGAGTAAAACAGGCCAGACGTAGACAGCAGTCTCACTGTCGTTACCTAACATCAATACGCCAAAGATCTTATGAAGTCAGGTGTATGCACACGTGAAGCAAGCGCGTCAACCTCACTGTTGTTGTGGTTGGAATCTTGGTCAATCCCACGGCACAACTTTCTTTATCGCTAGTAACAAGCTGGCAGACGAACAGAACCTGTCGACAAGCAGGAAGATAAGACGATATGTGAGAACTGCCGCGGCATAAGCCTCAATACCGGTGCCGCCGAAGTCTTCGCTACTTGCTTTTTCAGGAAATTCCAGGCTGAGTGTGACTCTAGGGCGAGACACAAAAAGCCGGATTCCGTGTTGGGCGTGGACGTGCGGATCAGATATGCACACTGAGACGGATTCCTGAATTCCGTCATAGCTACAACAGCCGACGGCCGCCGCATTCTATTTAGTCCATCGTGAGGCAAAGTGACAACTAATTGCACTAGATGGTGTACCGGAAAAAAAACTCCACCGTAAGCAAAACCTACTACTTCTCCATCACTGCACGAGTTCTGGTCCATAGCAGTCTCGCCAACAGTGCGGTGTTCGGTATGAATTTCAAAAAGGTTTGTCCTGTCGCCTAGTCTGTTTGAGTACGCTATTGACTGGATTCTCTGGAAGGTCGTGCATGAAGATTACAGTATTGCGTTCGCACCCGAAAGCCGGCTGATTGATCTCTAATAAGCGGATGATAGCACCTTGCTAGTTTCAAGCTTCGGTGAGCTGAAGTCTATGGTTTCACGATTGACTGCAGTTGCATTTTATCCATTAATGGTGGGAAAACCTGCGTTTTTAAACTGCATCCCTGATCAGGAGAAGGCACCTCTCGAAATGAACAGCTGTCAACTTGAAGTAAACTGTTCCAAATACTTTGGAGCGAGGCTGCTACCGAATATATAGAGTAAGTATGATATTGGCTCCCTAAACGGTAGTGCTCCCGAGTTTTCTCAAGCCTTAGAAAGTGTCTATAGATCCACGGCGAT